CATACACACAAGAGGAGTTAGTCTGTTCCTAATGTTGAGAGCTGTACATACACACAAGAGGAGTTAGTCTGTTCCTAATGAGAGCTGCACATACACACAAGAGGAGTTAGTCTGTTCCTAATGAGAGCTGTACATACACACAAGAGGAGTTAGTCTGTTCCTAATGTTGAGAGCTGTGCATACACACAAGAGGAGTTAGTCTGTTCCTAATGAGAGCTGTGCATACACACAAGAGGACTTAGTCTGTTCCTAATGAGAGCTGTACATACACACAAGAGGAGTTAGTCTGTTCCTAATGTTGAGAGCTGTGCATACACACAAGAGGAGTTAGTCTGTTCCTAATGAGAGCTGTGCATACACACAAGAGGAGTTAGTCTGTTCCTAATGAGAGCTGTACATACACACAAGAGGAGTTAGTCTGTTCCTAATGAGAGCTGTACATACACACAAGAGGAGTTAGTCTGTTCCTAATGAGAGCTGTACATACACACAAGAGGAGTTAGTCTGTTCCTAATGAGAGCTGTACATACACACAAGAGGAGTTAGTCTGTTCCTAATGAGAGCTGTGCATACACACAAGAGGACTTAGTCTGTTCCTAATGAGAGCTGTACATACACACAAGAGGAGTTAGTCTGTTCCTAATGAGAGCTGTACATACACACAAGAGGAGTTAGTCTGTTCCTAATGAGAGCTGTGCATACACACAAGGGGAGTTAGTCTGTTCCTAATGTTGAGAGCTGTACATACACACAAGAGGAGTTAGTCTGTTCCTAATGAGAGCTGTGCATACACACAAGAGGAGTTAGTCTGTTCCTAATGTTGAGAGCTGTGCATACACACAAGAGGAGTTAGTCTGTTCCTAATGAGAGCTGTACATACACACAAGAGGAGTTAGTCTGTTCCTAATGTTGAGAGCTGTACATACACACAAGAGGAGTTAGTCTGTTCCTAATGTTGAGAGCTGTACATACACACAAGAGGAGTTAGTCTGTTCCTAAGAGCCAGCATGCGGGACCGGGACTCTGGGATTTGTAGTCTTTCTAGTTGCGTATTTTTCATAGTCTTATATTTCAACAGTTTTACGACAAACTGACTTTTTTGACATGGAAATTATTTGTTAAGATTGACAAACATCATATGTGTAATTCGTGGCACAATTCAAACGGGATCTTAAGATAATCTTTCTCTCCCCATTGACTTCAATACAAACTTTTTCCGAAATAAGGTCCCATGAGTCCCACCGGAAGGGAGACTTCGCCTCTCTATATATCTATGGTCTCAGCTGTCTCAACCAAGCCCCCAGGAAGTGCGCCGGACTCTGAGGAAAATATTCGTTGTGGCCAAACGGCAGTACTACACTTCCGTTACGTTGCTGTGCCCGGAAACACTTTTTCCCATTGACTTACATTGGGAAAGAGTGGTCTGTAAATCGTTGGATATTTTTTTTTAAACTAAATAAACTACCCAGCAGTGGCGAGCCGTCAGGGCCCTCTAGGCCCTCTGTGAGGGCCTAAGATATTCTAAAAAATAATATTTAAAAACATTTAAAAAATATATATTTTTTAAATATATATTTTTCTTATATTTTTCATTAGTTTTACCGAAAAAAAACTTGATTTAATTGTATTTAAAATAACATTTCCAAAGAAATAAATCCTTCGAATCTGCCTGTTCAGTCTCTGTTTGAATGTGAAGGGTTACATGAAAGAAGCTCGTCTGGCCCTCTCTGCGATTCACAGAGGGTTGCTATAGTAACTGAACGAGAGAGTAATGTCAAATGACAGTACAATTGACCAATCATATCTTCCCTCTAAATGGGTGGGTTTTATTATCGCGGACTTTATGACAAGTTCCACCCGCTGTGAAACTTTTCTTGTTTCCATAGCAACAACAACTTCCTGTCAACAGCGTGAACTCGCCTTCAAAATAAAAGCATGCCAAATTACACTTAAGACATACAACTGCAACGAAAGTAACAAACACAATGCAATATCATTTTCAATGTCAAAGAACACAAATTGGGTTCCCAGGTGTTGTTTTGTGTGGTAGAGGGTCGCTGTCATTGATGCGTTTTGCACCCTGGGCCGGTTTTGATATTCCGCTGAAGTATACGCTGTGACGTAATAACTCTTTTTTTTTCTTTTTTTCGAGGGAAGGGGTGGGGGTCAGAGGGCCTAGGTATAAAGCTCACGGCTCGCCACTGCTACCCAGTATGAACGTTTGTATAGCCCTTATTAAAAACATTCAGTCCTCAAGTTGTAAAATGTGCTAATAACGTTGTTCTGTGAGTTATTTCCCTCTGCATTATGAACGCGCATCCAACCCACGGGACCGCGCCGCCCGGCACGTTCATGTTACGTGTTCAGCACTACATGCGTTTATCTTTACCCATGGATGCACAATAAGAACGGACCCGCCTTACTGCCAGCCCACGGAGCTGTAATAATGGATATATTGCACATGTTTGCTGTAATTCATCATTTGTAAAATATTATACTACATGGGCTGTATGATTAAATCTTGTATTAAATAAAGTTAAAGGGCCCATGTCATGCTTTTCCGGTTATTACCCATCCCGGTGTGCAGAGTCAAAACCCTCAGAGTACACCCTGTAGCGAGTAAAACTCTAACACAGAAAATACCTCCCCAAAACGCCTCGTTGGAGATACGTCACTGCCCATTTGAGTCTTCCATTTAGTTCCGGGTACGGCATGATGTCATGCCGTACCCGGAACGAAATGGACCAATCCCGAAGAGCTATGGCCACACCCAGCGGCGCTGGCCGCACCCTCTGCCAGCCTAACATTTACTGTTGGAAGCTCTGGTTCAGTTCACAATCGATCCAGTCATGCCACTGCCAAGGACCTGTTTCCTGAAATGTGAGGAGAAATCTGAGCTGTTTGTCCTACCGACGGAAGAACCACGACGAAGTCAGTGGTTGACATTTATTTTTAACACTGTTCCTTCAGAGGTTCGAAGAACGTTACTGTGTGCGCGGCATTTCACAGACGAAAGCTTCCAAAACATTGCCCAGTTTGAGGCCGGATATGCACAGCATTTGAAACTGAAGGACGATGCTATTCCTAGTTTGATTGGACCGTTTGGAGCAGGGGAAGATTCGGGTACACAACCTGTAAGTTTGCATTGTTATTTGTGTATTTATCAAACAAGGTATCTACCACGACTGTTTAAATGTGTAAATGTGTGTCGGACTGCTAGCGTTTCCATATATCAACTCTAATATCAGCAGATGGCCTTACATGTATCTCATAGCAGGAGAATGTCTGCATTCACACACAAAATACTCAGACAGTATACTCCGGGTGATTTGCCGTACGGTCAGTACATTACAGTTGGCTTTCCTCCGAGCTACGCTGATAGCATGTATAGCTAACGAGGCTAGCGGAAAACATTGTATTCATGCCAGTTACAATGAATGACCGAACGTAGCAGACTACCCGTATAAGATTGCAATTATAAACACGTTATTGCTAGCCTAATATGAACCACTAGCTTTTGTTCATAGTAGTTTTATTACACTACATTATAGTTGCCGTTCCTCCGAGCTAACGTTCATATCGTGTTAGCTACCAAGGTAAACAACAAAGCTAGGTTAGCATATTAGCTGGCAAGCTTACTGTGTTGATTAGATAGATGGATTAGATAGATCCACACTCCTACCACAACTACTACTAACGAATCTAAAACAACTAAGTTTCTCTAATATTTTGTGATTTGCATTTGATTTCGTCCAGCCAGATCCTGGCGGACAATACATGACGGGACTACCACACTGATGCCTCGTCCTAAAAAGCCCCGGCTGCGATAGGCAAGATGCCGACAACGGGGAGTAATGGATGATATACCATGTATATATTTATGTTCATTTTGTACATTTCTAAAAATAAAGTTTGATGGAAATACTTAGTAGGCCTATCCTTTCTTCCCTGAATGATTTGCTCCTATAACATATCATTCATATATAGCAAACCATGATTTGATTTCTCATCAAACAGTAGTAGTTTATTACAGGTAACAATAACTTACTCTTCTATAACAACAGTTGTAGGTACAGTTCGGTTAGTTAGCGTATAAAATATACGGCTGTACCGTAAGCACTGTTAGACATGGGCGGAGCGTCTCTGGTGGTTGACTAATCAGAACAGAGTGGCCAAGCTGACCAATCGGAGCACACTAGGCTCACAGGGAGGGGGGGGCAAGAGCTCCAACGAGTCGTTTAGTGGAGAGAGTGAATACTGCTGAATACACATGCTTGACAGAGATGCTGTATGAGAAACCAATGTGAGTTTGGAAAATGAAATGATCAAATAAAGTCAACATAGTCTTTACTGAGCTGTGTGGGGTTTGTTCAACTTTTAAAAGATGTTTGAATGGTGATATACACAGTGATAGATGTTAAGGACTAACGTTTATAATAAATACATTTGTATTGATTTGAAGATCTTTTCATACAATCATACGTATTGGGATCATTTGTATTAATGTGGACCGGAGGGAGAGGGTGATGAGCATAAGTTTCACTTTCCTTTTTTATTTCAATTCCAACTTTGGTCATGAAGAATATGTTTCTCTGTTGTCCCCGTTCATAAAGCATAACAGCATCAGAGCACGGTGCAGAGTCTCTAGATGAGTTTACAGTAGTCCCTCGTTCTTATTAAACATCCATGTTGTAGTCCGCTGTATAGAAAACTGTAGTTTCCATAGTTTCCCCACAGCAGCAGGCGCACATTCATGACGTCCGCTGGCGCATCATAAACACGTCGGATAGTGGAAGTGCAGTCGATTCTCTAAAGTACCGCAGTCTCTTCTCCTAAGTCCTTTTGAATTCTCCTATCCACTATCCCTTAACCCCGTGACCTTTCACTCAGAGGTCAAGGGATGGACGATAGGGATAGAACTTAGGAGCTGATTTTTGGACTATTCGACCGCAACCATGGTCTCAACATGGTGAAGTGTATTGTGGGTATTTTGTGCTCACCTGTCTGAACTGAGTCTCAGCGTTCTCATCTTTGTTCTTGTCAGGGTGCAGAATCAGAGACAGCCGGCGGTATGCCTTCTTTATCTCCACTGGAGACGCATCCTGAGAGACAGGTGAGACACACAGGTAGAGACAGGTGAGACACACAGGTAGAGACAGGTGAGACACACAGGTAGAGACAGGTGAGACACACAGGTAGAGACAGGTGAGACACACAGGTAGAGACAGGTGAGACACACAGGTGTGACACACAGGTAGAGACAGGTGAGACACACAGGTAGAGACAGGTAGACACACAGATAGAGACACACAGGTAGAGACACACAGGTGAGACACACAGGTAGAGACACACAGGTGAGACACACAGGTGAGACACACAGTTAGAGACAGGTGAGACACACAGGTAGAGACAGGTGAGACACACAGGTGAGACACACAGGTAGAGACACACAGGTGAGACACACAGGTAGAGACACACAGGTGAGACACACAGTTGAGACACACAGTTGAGACACACAGTTAGAGACAGGTGAGACACACAGGTAGAGACAGGTGAGACACACAGTTAGAGACACACAGGTAGAGACACACAGGTGAGACACACAGTTAGAGACAGGTGAGACACACAGGTGAGACACACAGGTAGAGACACACAGGTGAGACACACAGGTAGAGACACACAGGTGAGACACACAGGTGAGACACACAGTTAGAGACAGGTGAGACACACAGGTAGAGACAGGTGAGACACACAGTTAGAGACACACAGGTAGAGACACACAGGTGAGACACACAGTTAGAGACAGGTGAGACACACAGGTAGAGACAGCTGAGACAGCTGAGACACACAGTTGGAGACGGGTAGAGACAGGTGAGACACACAGGTAGAGACAGGTGAGACACACAGTTGGAGACAGGTGAGACACACAGGTAGAGACAGGTGAGACACACAGGTAGAGACAGGTGAGACACACAGTTAGAGACAGGTGAGACACACAGGTAGAGACAGGTGAGACACACAGTTGGAGACGGGTAGAGACAGGTGAGACACACAGTTGGAGACAGGTGAGACACACAGTTGGAGACAGGTGAGACACACAGGTAGAGACAGGTGAGACACACAGGTAGAGACAGGTGAGACACACAGGTAGAGACAGGTGAGACACACAGTTAGAGACAGGTGAGACACACAGGTAGAGACAGACAGGTGAGATAATATATAACATAGTAATAAGAGTTAGCTGTTAGTTTAGATAAAATGATAATAAAGAGTTAGCTGTATGTAAGAGTAACCCTGCTTCGGTTAGCTGCTAACTAGCTTAGCCCCTGTATGTGTGCGTGGCACTCAGCTGTTAGCACTAGCTGCTAGCTGCGGTCACCATGGATACAGTTAGCATTAGCATTAGCTCAGACCTGCTCCACGGACAGGAAAGTGTAGAAGTTGATCTGGATCTCCTCCACCAGGTCCAGCAGCTCCAGGTCCGGGTCCCAGGCGGACAGAGGGGGGGCCGAGGAGAGGAGCAGGAGGACCAGGAGCAGGGGGACCGTCATCTCTACCGACACATCACCGACACACACTGCCGTAACACGGGGAAGACATCCGGGGCACGGACACACATCATCGACACACACTGCCGTAACATCCGGGGCACGGACACACACTGCCGTAACACGAAGAGCACATCCGGGGCACGGAGCTTTCACAATAAGAGCTTTCAGACAGAAATGAAGAGATGAAGAAAGAACTACAGACGCAATATAATCATCGCTGCTGCCCCCACCCCAAAACACTGACCAAAGCCCCCCCCCACCCCAAAACACTGACCAGAGCCCCTCCCCCACCCCAAAACACTGACCAAAGCCCCCCCCCACCCCAAAACACTGACCAAAGCCCCCCCCCCCACCCCAAAACACTGACCAGAGCCCCTCCCCCACCCCAAAACACTGACCAAAGCCCCCCCCACCCCAAAACACTGACCAAAGCCCCCCCCACCCCAAAACACTGACCAAAGCCCCCCCCCACCCCAAAACACTGACCAAAACTCAGACTGGCTTTTAATGTGTGAATAATGTTGTTGTTTTGTTTTAATATTTTAATCCAACTTGTTACATGTTACTGATGTCCTCTCCATGTGGCACACAAAGCACGTCCCCACTTGTTACTGATGTCCTCTCCATGTGGCACACAAAGCACGTCCCCACTTGTTACTGATGTCCTCTCCATGTGGCACACAAAGCACGTCCCAACTTGTTACTGATGTCCTCTCCATGTGGCACACAAAGCACGTCCCCACTTGTTACATGTTATTGACGTCCTCTTGAATACCACTGCAGTGTGTCTTTGAGCTCCTGAATTATGACATCTCCTGTTAATATGATTGTGAATCTTCTTTGAATCATGCGAGGCCTTTCAGGATATTAACCACTAAAGGAAACGTGGTGCAAACTTTATTGACAGTTTTTAATCTACATCATGAAAATAACATCTTTCATACATAAAATCACAGTCCTCTGATAACCAACAAACAATAACACTGATGACATCACACTGATGACATCATAACACTGATGATGTCATCACACTGATGATGTCATCACACTGACGACATCATTAAACCCTGATGACACTGTTAGAGGGGATTCACAGCAGGGGTTAAAGTGTGAGCGTTGCTATGGAAACACGTCATCAAACATCACCAGCTGACCAGCGCTTCCTGTTTCTTTCAAAATAAAACCCCAGATATCGCTGTTTAAAAACTTTAAGGAAACAGTGGTTGTCTGTTGTTGTTTATGTTGTTGCTGTCAGTTGTTGTTTGTCTGTAGTTTCCTGTCTGTGAGCAGAGTGGCCCAGGGGTCCTGCAGCATGGAGGGGCTGAAGTACCTCTCCACTGAGTCTCCCTGAAAACACACACAACAGCAGGAGTTATTAGGAGGACACACACACACACACACACACACACACACCACACACACACACACACACACACACACACACACACACACACACACACACACACACACACACACACACACACACACACACACACACACACACACACACACACACACACACACACACACACACACACACACACACACACACACACTTACACACACACACACACACACACACACACACACACACACACACACACACACACACACACACACCTACCTGGTGGTTTTGAGCGGGACTGAAGCCCTGAGGCCGCCGGAACCCGCCTCCTCTGCTCCGGGACCCGAACCCCCGGTAAGACCCCGGAGAGTCTCTGTTTCCCCGGTAAGACCCCGGAGAGTCTCTGTTTCCCCGGTAAGACCCCGGAGAGTCTCTGTTTCCCCGGTAAGACCCCGGAGAGTCTCTGTTTCCCCGGTAAGACCCCGGAGAGTCAGTGTATCCCGGAGAAAAGGGGGAGTATTGCGGGCGGGGAGGTGCTCCGTACGGGGCTCCGCTCCAGCTGGAGGCCGGGGAGGGGAAGCATGCAGCCGGCCGCGGGGCTCCGGGGCTCGGCGGAGGTCTGTCCGGTGCTCGGTTCATGACAACAGACGGTGAGGCTCGGAAGGATCACCACACACTGTGAGGAACCGGAAAACACGGGGTTGTTTCCGGTAATGCAGCCTGCAGCGCCGCCAAACGACCAGGAGCTTAAAAACCTGAGAGCGGAACACACCGTGAGAGGATAGGGAACCAGATAAACCACCAGATAAACAACCAGATAAACAGATAAACAACCAGATAAACACATGACGTGATGGAGCAGTGTGTGTGTGTGTGCCGGTGTGTCGGTGTGAGTGATGTGATGGAGCAGTGTGTGTGTGCGTGATGTGATTGAGAAGTGTGTGTGTGTTTGTGCGTGATGTGATTGAGAAGTGTGTGTGTGTGTGTGTGTGTGTGTGTGTGTGTGTGCGTGATGTGATTGAGAAGTGTGTGTGTGTGTGTGTTTGTGCGTGATGTGATTGAGAAGTGTGTGTGTGTGTGTGTGTGTGTGTGTGTTTCCGCTGCCTCGGGTGAATGACCTTTGTGTGTGTTCCCTCTGGTTATCAGTGGCGCTGATGTGTGTGTGTGACCTGCAGTAAACTCTCTGTCAGGTGAACACTGACACTTTGCAGAGGACTACGTCACATGATCATTATACATGATGTATGAAGTATAATGTATAATAATAATAATAATAATGGGTTTCATTTATAACACACTTCATATCTGAGTTCAGATCCCGAAGTGCTGCAAGCAGTGAGGAACAATATAAAACAGTACAACCCGGTAGAATGAATAAAAAGCAGTAAAAACAAACAATACAAAATAAATAAAAGGGTAGTAATAAATAAAATAAAAGGTCTAGGAAAAGGCTCTATTGAACAAATGGGTACGCTTCCACGGTCTGTGGTGCTCTCATGTGGTCGGGGAGAGCCTTCCAGGTCTGTGGTGCTCTCATATGGTCGGACAGAGCCTTCCAGGTCTGTAGTGCTCTCATGTGGTCGGGGAGAGCCTTCCACGGTCTGTGGTGCTCTCATGTGGTCGGGGAGAGCCTTCCAGGTCTGTGGTGCTCTCATGTGGTCGGGGAGAGCCTTCCACGGTCTGTGGTGCTCTCATGTGCTCGGGGAGAGCCTTCCAGGTCTGTGGTGCTCTCATGTGGTCGGGGAGAGCCTTCCACGGTCTGTGGTGCTCTCATGTGGTCGGGGAGAGCCTTCCAGGTCTGTGGTGCTCTCATGTGGTCGGGGAGAGCCTTCCACGGTCTGTGGTGCTCTCATGTGATCGGGGAGAGCCTTCCAGGTCTGTGGTGCTCTCATGTGGTCGGGGAGAGCCTTCCAGGTCTGTGGTGCTCTCATGTGGTCGGGGAGAGCCTTCCACGGTCTGTGGTGCTCTCATGTGGTCGGGGAGAGCCTTCCAGGTCTGTGGTGCTCTCATGTGGTCGGGGAGAGCCTTCCAGGTCTGTGGTGCTCTCATGTGGTCGGGGAGAGCCTTCCAGGTCTGTGGTGCTCTCATGTGGTCGGAGAGAGCCTTCCACGGTCTGTGGTGCTCTCATGTGGTTGGGGAGAGCCTTCCAGGTCTGTGGTGCTCTCATGTGGTCGGGGAGAGCCTTCCACGGTCTGTGGTGCTCTCATGTGGTCGGGGAGAGCCTTCCAGGTCTGTGGTGCTCTCATGTGGTCGGGGAGAGCCTTCCACGGTCTGTGGTGCTCTCATGTGGTCGGGGAGAGCCTTCCACGGTCTGTGGTGCTCTCATGTGGTCGGGGAGAGCCTTCCACGGTCTGTGGTGCTCTCATGTGGTCGGGGAGAGCCTTCCACGGTCTGTGGTGCTCTCATGTGGTCGGGGAGAGCCTTCCAGGTCTGTGGTGCTCTCATGTGGTCGGGGAGAGCCTTCCAGGTCTGTGGTGCTCTCATGTGGTCGGGGAGAGCCTTCCACGGTCTGTGGTGCTCTCATGTGGTCGGGGAGAGCCTTCCAGGTCTGTGGTGCTCTCATGTGGTCGGGGAGAGCCTTCCAGGTCTGTGGTGCTCTCATGTGGTCGGGGAGAGCCTTCCAGGTCTGTGGTGCTCTCATGTGGTCGGGGAGAGCCTTCCAGGTCTGTGGTGCTCTCATGTGGTCGGGGAGAGCCTTCCAGGTCTGTGGTGCTCTCATGTGGTCGGGGAGAGCCTTCCAGGTCTGTGGTGCTCTCATGTGGTCGGGGAGAGCCTTCCACTTGGAGCTGTTGAGTTTCAGGAAGTTTTGCTTCATCCACGCCTGATCTCCTCCAGGCAGGCAGTGAGTGTGGGTGAAGGCAGGGCTGCAGAGGAGGTGGAGGCAGGGCTGCAGAGGAGGTGGAGGCAGGGCTGCAGAGGAGGTGGAGGCAGGGCTGCAGAGGAGGTGAAGGCAGGGCTGCAGAGGAGGTGAAGGCAGGGCTGCAGAGGAGGTGAAGGCAGGGCTGCAGAGGAGGGTGGAGGCAGGGCTGCAGAGGAGGTGGAGGCAGGGCTGCAGAGGAGGTGGAGGCAGGGCTGCAGAGGAGGTGGAGGCAGGGCTGCAGAGGAGGTGGAGGCAGGGCTGCAGAGGAGGTGGAGGCAGGGCTGCAGAGGAGGTGGAGGCAGGGCTGCAGAGGAGGTGGAGGCAGGGCTGCAGAGGAGGTGAAGGCAGGGCTGCAGAGGAGGTGGAGGCAGGGCTGCAGAGGAGGTGGAGGCAGGGCTGCAGAGGAGGTGGGGTTGATCCTGAGGTACAGTTGGGTGTCATCAGCGTAACAGTGGAATGATACTCCATGTCGGCTGATGATAGAGCCAAGGGGGATGTAGAGTGTAAAGAGGGTGGGGCCGAGAACTGATCCTTGAGGGACACCACAGGTGACATCATGGGTACCCGACTCTGCCTCACCCAAGGAGACGTAATGATCATGTGATGTACAGAGGGCTACGTCACATGTCTTCAAAGCTCCCACTCTCAGCACTGAGGTGTGTTCAGGGACACAACGACATGCTGACTGCAGCGGGGATTGAACCGGGACTCCCCTGATCCGGAGCTCATCCCACTATTCCACTGAGCCACAGCAGACGCACATTAATGACATCATCAACACGTCCACTAGTCCTTAACCCCATGACGTTTCTCACAGCGGTCATGTCACACTCCCCCTCAGTCTGTAGTCACACTCCGTCTGTAGTAACACTCCCCCTCCGTCTGTAGTCACACTCCGTCTGTAGTCACACTCCCCCTCCGTCTGTAGTCACACTCCGTCTGTAGTCACACTCCCCCTCTGTCTGTAGTCACACTCCGTCAGTAGTCACACTCCCCTCCGTCTGTAGTCACACACAGTCTGTAGTCACACTCCCCCTCCGTCTGTAGTCACACTCCTGTAGTCACACTCCGTCTGTAGTCACACTCCGTCAGTAGTCACACTCCGTCTGTAGGTGCCATAATGCTACTTAGCCCAAGTTCATTATTAGTAATATTATTATTTGTTTATGTCACTTTTATTTATTTGTTGAGCACTTCCGGTAATTGTCACATGGGTGTTTTTGTTAGTCGGACGACGAAGCGTGCCCTGTCGCCCAAACTCAATTAGGTGTGTCCCGCACCGTCAGCCGTGACACGCCTTATTTGGCCTTGGCCTTTCAACATGTTGAATCGGCTGTGCGTCGGCCACAGACAGTCGGACAAAGAAATCACTCTGATTGGCTGTTCAGCTAGCGAATCAGTGCATGAGAAGCGAAACGGTTGCTTGAGAATAGAGTGGCGAAGTCACGCCCATCTACTTCCGCCCCATGGGACCTTATTTCGGAAAAATAATGTATTGAAGTCAATGGAGAGAGAAAACTTATCTTTCGATCCCGTTTGAATTGTGCCATGAATTACACATATGATGTTTGTCAATATTAAAAAATCATTTCCATGTCAAAAAAGTCACAGTTTGTCGTAAAACTGTTGAAATATAAGACTATGAAAAATACGCAACTAGAAAGACTACAAATCCCAGAGTCGCGTAAGTGATGTCACAATTGTTTTCCTCCACTAAAATAGAGATAGCTAAGATCAGCGCCATATAGATAGAATCTATCTATATGGCGCTGGCTAAGATAAGATAACTTTAACAAGATGCCTGTGTGCTTAGTACCAGGTTGTTATCATACCAGCAATGGGTCTTGCTCGTTCTTTCGCTTCCCGTCTGATGAAAGAGGAGTGTCTGGATCAAGCTAGCTAGTAGCTAGCACGTTAGTTAGCATTACAGCCTTGTCATTTGTATTAGCCTTAACATGAAGTAACATGAAGTAACCCAAAGTGTTAAACAGTAAGAGTAGTAGTCATATTTCGTGAACCCTTTGAAGAGTACTGTCACCGGTGTGATCATTCTATAATACACCATTTAAGCCCGGGGGAGAAATGCTAACGCTAACGCTAGCATCGACGATCTTCTCTACTTCATGCTATCTGCACAAATGGTTGACATTAAACATTAAAACGACCAGGCAGTTCAGAGAGAATCAAAGGAAGGCAGGCAGGCAGCTTTGCATGACATTCTTCAGGACGTGTTTCATTGTGCTGATAGTGAGGGTAGTCAATCGTTTTGTTGACAAGATAGTAGTGACGGCCATCTTGGTGGCGTGTGTTGTTGACCAGAGATGTAGTTCATTGAGCGTTTCACACAAACAAATGTGTTACTTCACAGTTTTACGACACATTTTAATTTTTTTGACTTGCAAAATTATCTTTTAAATTGACAAACATCATATGTGTAATTCGTGGCACAATTCAAACGGGATCGAAAGATAATCTTTCTCTCTCCATTCACTTCAATACATAATTTTTCCGAAATAAGGTCCCATGGAGGTCCACCGGAAGGGGAGGGACTTCGCCACTCTATGTCTTCCACAAGCAACACTCCAATGGCTGATAGCTCCAGTACCGCACGAAACATGTTTTCGATGGACGAGAGTGAAAATGGAATGCACACGCTATTTGTTGTTTGTTTAGATCACGCAGTCTGTTCTTCTTCTCTGTCCTCCGGTTGTTGCCTCTTTTGAATGACGAATACACACTACCGCCGCCTGCTGGTAAGGAGAGTTATTGCCACTCATGCATGCGCAGTTCGTACGTGCTCGGCTGAAGTCTTTGCGGTGTGTTCCAGTGCGACACATGGCCAAGACGCAGGAGAACACGGCGAC